CGACTTCGCACTGCACTTGTATGCAGTGTCTCACCTATAAAAGTCATTTTTGTCTCTTTATCTGTGTGTGTGTGGATGAAACTTGCTAAGGATTTGGCTCACGAACCACAGGGTATATGTTTAAAGTACCCACACACACCACAGATACACACACACACGCCACGCCACACACACTACGCCACACACGACAGCCAGTAAGGAATTGTAGATCCGCCACTGACAATTCACTTCAAAGCATCCGCTGATAAAAGAAGATAAAGGCGCGGTCCCTGCAATTCCCCTACTCAGGCTCTTGTTGGCAGAACGGCCTTCCCACTCTGAGGAGCTCTGGACAGAGCTCCTCGATGGGCTACTTGGCCTACTCTTCCACGCTGACGTCTACAGACGCCGTGGGAGAACACACCAGAGTGGGGGTAGCCCACACTCTACCCCACCGACTGGACCGGGTGGTGGCTGGGTGCGTTTGAGAAACGTGTCCATTGGTTCAGCTGCCGTAGCGACGGCGGGTGACGGACCGGTGACCTCTGGGTTGTTTGACCTTCTGAGTCAATGATTGGCGTTACGTTGCGAGCCCAGTGTGTTTGTACGTGCGACGTCGGTCAAATGAAAGTCACTTAAATTTCGATTTAAAGCTTTCGTGACTGCAGGGATTCATATTCTTGGTTCTTTCGGTAAAGTCACGTAGAAGGGAAATAATATAATATTAAAACAATAACATTTCTCACGTTTCGACTGCAACACAAGCAATCATCATCAGGTGTGAAATCCACAGAAAAAAAAATGTATTGCTGTGGATTTCACACCTTCTACGTGACTTTACCGAAAGAACCAAGAATATGAAAGTCACTTATTTGAACGGCCCTGGACTGAGACTGCCTGTGACCTTCAGCGTTGAGGCGCCGCTCAAATAACTAAACGGCAGCAAAGGCAAACGACAAACATCGTGAGTAGTGAACAGCGAGTGGATCAGCGCGGCTGGGCTACGTACGGTGTGAAAGAAGTGCAACACACACAGAGCAGAAGCTGTTGTTTGTGTCACTTTCTTTGTTGCAACTTGCCGGAAATCTGTGTAAATTAACACAAATAAGCCGCGTGGCTCGGCAGATTTCTCCCAGTAACGAACCAAACGCCTCTTCCGATTGCGAACCACAAACTCGGCAATCAGTTGTGCAGACCAGAAGGGGGGTGGGGAGTGAATGTCGTCGTGAATGACAGCGGGTGTCTGTCATTGACTGGGTTATATCGACACACAACGTATGTTGATCACGCATGCACACGATGCATGCGCATTGCGTGTGTGTACGTTCGGCCGTTGTAAAAATAACTTCACCCAAATACACTCGTAGCGATGTTGACGTGTAACCCCATCACAGGAGCAGACTTCAAGCAGCTAATGCCGATGGGTAAAGGTGCAGTCCTGCAAGTGCTCGCGTCACCGCTGTGACGGAAGGTTTTCTCGAGGGAGCTCCGGAGAGAGAGCCTCCGTGGGATGTAACTTGGCCTACTCTTCCACGCTGGCCAATACTTTGTTTTAGGAGAGGTGGGACTACACAGACTCGGTGATGATATATCTTGGAGGAATCCGATGAGCTGTGAAGCTCTTCATCACAGATATCCAGTCGGAAATGTTGACCACCACCACCCACATTTTACCCCACCGGTCAAATTAAAGCATGCACATTCTCTTGAGGGCCTTGTGATTCTAAATGTGGAGGGAAAACCCGGAGAGAAATCCACGTGGCCACGGGGAGAGACACGCAGACTTCAAATATACAGCAGCAGGCGTTAGGATCGGGATCGAACCCACGACCTCTTGTATACCAGGCGAGGTAGTCAACATCTCCTAGCCACCGTGATGATGATGAGAGAGAGACACGCAGATTTCAAATATACAGCAGCAGGCGTTAGTCGGGATCGAACCCACGACCTCTTGTGTACCAGGCGAGGTAGTTAACATCTCCTAGGCACCGTGATGATGATGCTCTTTCGATTAACCCCGGTGTGTGCCAATACAAGTTGGCCCGGCTCATCTTTTGCCTCCTCTGTTGCATACTGATAGTGTGCCTCTGTGTATGTGGGGCGGGCAGAAATGTGGCGTGCTGGTTAGTGAAATGCGCTACAAACGTGGTGATCTGAATACAAAATGTCCAGCAGCCACTTCTAACTCGGTTGCAAATATAGGAACCGTTCCTGGGCATTCCCTTGGCTTTGTCTGGTGCCAGGATGTAGAGTGGAGTTTGTCTGGTGCCAGGATGTAGAGTGGAGTTTGTTTGGTGCCAGGATGTAGAGTGGAGTTTGTCTGGTGCCAGGATGTTGAATGGAGTTTGTCTGGTGCCAGGATGTAGAGTGGAGTTTGTCTGGTGCCAGGATGTAGAGTGGAGGTTGTCTGGTGCCAGGATGTAGAGTGGAGTTTGTCTGGTGCCAGGATGTAGAGTGGAGTTTGTCTGGTGCCAGGATGTTGAATGGAGTTTGTCTGGTGCCAGGATGTAGAGTGGAGGTTGTCTGGTGTCAGGATGTAGAGTGGAGTTTGTCTGGTGCCAGGATGTAGAGTGGAGTTTGTCTGGTGCCAGGATGTAGAGTGGAGTTTGTCTGGTGCCAGGATGTTGAATGGAGTTTGTCTGGTGGCAGGATGTTGATTGGAGTTTGTCTGGTGCCAGGATGTAGAGTGGAGTTTGTCTGGTGTCAGGATGTAGAGTGGAGGTTGTCTGGTGTCAGGATGTTGAATGGAGTTTGTCTGGTGCCAGGATGTAGAGTGGAGGTTGTCTGGTGCCAGGATGTTGAATGGAGTTTGTCTGGTGTCAGGATGTAGAGTGGAGTTTGTCTGGTGCCAGGATGTAGAGTGGAGTTTGTCTGGTGCCAGGATGTAGAGTGGAGTTTGTCTGGTACCAGGATGTAGAGTGGAGTTTGTCTGGTGCCAGGATGTTGAATGGAGTTTGTCTGGTGCCAGGATGTAGAGTGGAGTTTGTCTGGTGCCAGGATGTAGAGTGGAGTTTGTCTGGTGCCAGGATGTTGAATGGAGTTTGTCTGGTGTCAGGATGTAGAGTGGAGGTTGTCTGGTGCCAGGATGTAGAGTGGAGGTTGTCTGGTGCCAGGATGTTGAATGGAGTTTGTCTGGTGTCAGGATGTAGAGTGGAGTTTGTCTGGTACCAGGATGTTGAATGGAGTTTGTCTGGTGTCAGGATGTAGAGTGGAGTTTGTCTGGTACCAGGATGTAGAGTGGAGTTTGTCTGGTGCCAGGATGTTGAATGGAGTTTGTCTGGTGCCAGGATGTAGAGTGGAGTTTGTCTGGTGCCAGGATGTAGAGTGGAGTTTGTCTGGTGCCAGGATGTTGAATGGAGTTTGTCTGGTGCCAGGATGTAGAGTGGAGGTTGTCTGGTGCCAGGATGTAGAGTGGAGGTTGTCTGGTGCCAGGATGTAGAGTGGAGTTTGTCTGGTGCCAGGATGAGTAAGTAGCCGGTGTGTGACGTCAGCTTCAGCGTTGGGGAGACAGAGGCGTGGTGCTGACCCCACCACCACCATTGCAGCCTTCACGGCTACCAGCAAATCGCATTGCCCAAACAGTCAGCACGGTCAGCATAGGCCGCACAGGGGTTCTTTTGAAAATGTGTAATGCTTATGTGGGTGAGTGTAAGGGTGTACGAGTGTGTGTTGGACAGAGTATTGTAATTCAAACCTTGCAAAAATTAACCCGTGAAAACAAAGTTTTTCACTTTAAATCCTTTATATGCGTGGCGGCTAGAGTCCTCTCGTCCTCTGGCTTGAGATGGCTGCCACCTATGGGTCAGATGATTGTCTGCCACCATTAAGCAATTGGTAATTAAATATTTTAAAAAAAATTCCCTAAACAGTGTAAAATTTGGGAAAATTTTTTCACTAAAATTAATTGTCACGCACAACGAGTCTGTGTGCAAAATGTCAGCTCGATTGGATCACGGGAAGTGGGTTAAAAAACGACCGAAAGATTTACACGGTCGTAAGCAAGCAAGCAAGCACGCAAGCGAACTTAATATAAAGGATTTTTAAAAAACAGGTTCCGTTCTTGGCTTCTGGTATCTGGCATGCTCCTTCTCAAGGTCATCTCAGCTTCATATGAATGAGTGTTCCGTGCTGTTTGGGACTTCAAATGTGAAGAAGTCCACATTGGCTTTGGGTACCTGGTGCCTGTGTCACCGTGTGCGCAATAGACGCTCGCCAGCAACGTATCCCGGCATTGCGACATCGCTGCCCAAGCACACGAGAGGAACAGCGACCTTCTCCTGCTGTCACAATGTCTATGAGCTCGCAGGCATGACACGTCATGAGAGTATTCTTTGGTTCTTTCGGTAAAGTCACGTATGAAGATAAAATAATAAATTAAATACTAGCATACGACGTTTCGATTGCAACACAAGCAATCATCATCAGGTATAAATTAAATAGAAACACAAATCTATTATACTTAGAAATGTAATGTAATACAACAGAGAGTCGGATAACATAACAGTCAACACCCTATCTGGTTGATTACGTTCTTCCTGAGAATGACAAATTTGAGAGAGAGATCAAACACAGAACCAGAAACATAATCTCTCTCTCAAATTTAGCATTCTCAGGAAGAACGTAATCAACCAGGTGGGGTGTTGACTGTTATGTTATCCAACTCTCTGTTATATTACATTACATTTCTAAGTATACTAGATTTGTGTTTCTATTTAATTTATACCTGATGATGATTGCTTGTGTTGCAATCGAAACGTCGTATGCTAGTATCCTCCGTCCATCACGCGGCCGTGCCTCGTGACGCGCCTGGGTGACGTCACGCCCCGCCCCTCGCGACGTGAACCCGGAAGCAGCAGCAGCAGAGGAAGAGGCTCTGGTGGTGGTGAAGGTGGTGGTGGTGGTGGAGGAGGTGGTGGAGGTGGTGGTGGTGGTGGAGGAGGTGGTGGTGGTGGTGGAGGAGGTGGAGGTGGTGGTGGTGGAGGTGGTGGTGGAGGAGGTGGTGGAGGAGGTGGTGGTGGAGGCCTTTGACGCGCCCCTCGCCCCCCCCCCGGAAGGACCCCGACGTAAGACCCCCACCAGGTGGGTGGGGGGGGTCCACGTTTATTTGGCGTCGCAAGTGCACCTAGCCTGGCACACAGGCACCGTGGCGACGTCGTTGTTGTTACTGCTGCTGTGTGCGTGGTCGACACGCTCGTGCTGTATCTCCATGGTAACTGTTGGGGGGGGGGTGGCACGAGAGCCTTTGTGACGTCACCGCCAATTAGTGTCCACTTGGGAAGTGTGGGGGAGCGGTGGCGCAGTGGTTAGCGCACCGGGCCCTGGAGGGTAATCACAGCTGATGAACCCTTGACGGTTGTTGACGAGCGGCGTGTTCTTGGACATTGAGTTGTGGGCTCCATGCGGCGTAGAGACGTGTCAATGCGGGCAACAACAACAACAGCAACAACAATAGCAACAACAACAATTGTCTATTTGTGTTCCTCTACTCGTTTTGCGTATTGAACGTTTACTAAAGTGGCGACTCCCAGCTCACGTGAACAAGAGAGAGAGGGCTTGACGATGTCGCTGCGTGTGCGTGTGTGTGCTTGCGTGTGTGAATCTCTCTTGCCCTGCCACGCGGTTTGCCCTGCGTGCTCGTTCTGGCGCTCTCCCATTGCGCATTCGGTTTTCTTCTTTCAGTGACGAGGGAGGGGGGGAATGCGTCGTCAAGTTCACGCGGCTTGCGATGTTGTGGTGGTCGCCGCAGTGCACAGACGCACGCGACACGGACGGGGGAACGGTCCACAACGCGGCAGATGTTTTTGTTTTGTTTGCCAATGGCCCTCCTGAGCACAGTTTTCCCCTGCTGCGAGGGCAGCGTGATGAACACACGTCTGTGAACGCTCTCTTGGAGTTGTCGCTTCCATCTGCGGCGTGCGCGCGCGACAGCTTGAACGTTTCCCCGTGGGCTTTAATGGGAGTTCATCTGTCGACTTTGGACGTGACGATGGATCGGCCTCGTCTCTAAGAGTGGACTGCTCTCCTCTTGCTGACGGGGCAGGATGTGTGTGGGGAGGCGATGGGGGGCGGGGGGGGAGCAGCGCTATGAGGGGGCCTGACTCCATAGACTCCTCTTCCCAGCCCCCCTTTCCATCCCCGCTCATTTAGTTTTTGTTTTATTTTTTAAACCCCAAAGACACCATCGGAGCACTCTCCGGCACAGCCAGGGAAAACCTGCTCGCCACGTGTGACCAAGGAAACCGGTCACACGTGCCGGTAAATAATTTCCGGTGTAATTTTCGTCGGAAGTGGGGGGTAGCGTACCCACACTTAATCCGCACCACGCGTGAGCTGCCCGCCGACTTGCCGCGGGTGCTGGGTGGTGTTCTCGTCGTCGTCGTTGTTTCTGCAGAGTCGCAGCCAGCCATGGACTGCCTGTGTGGAAAGAGAAAGACTCCGGAGCAGATGGTGCGGCGGAACCAGCGAGCCCTCGCGCGCGCCATGAGGGACCTGGAGCGCGAGAGACAGACGCTGCAGACGCAGGAGAAGAAGATCGTCGCTGAGATCAAGAAGATGGCCAAAGCCGGCCACATGGTGAGGGAGCACGGGTATATAGTTTGGTGGGCCCTCGCTAAGCTACGTGGCAGTGGGGAGGAAAGCGCTGTGGGTGGAGTCGGGATTAGCGGGAGGTGGTGATGGGTGGGACACGTGTGCAGGGTGATGGGTGGGACACGTGTGCAGGGTGATGGGTGGGACACGTGTGCAGGGTGATGGGTGGGACACGTGTGCAGGGTGATGGGTGGGACACGTGTGCAGGGTGATGGGTGGGACACGTGTGCAGGGTGATGGGTGGGACACGTGTGCAGGGTGATGGGTGGGACACGTGTGCAGGGTGATGGGTGGGACACGTGTGCAGGGTGATGGGTGGGACACGTGTGCAGGGTGGAGGAGGAGGAGGAGGAGGCGGGTAAGGGTCGGCAACTTTGAGTTTGGGAATGGAATGTGCCCAACTCCATGTGACAGACACACTCTCTCTCTACGTGCCTCTTTCCCCATATCTCTCTGTGTCTCTATTTTTGTCTCAGCTCTGTCTCTCTGTGTGTCTTGTGGCCTTCGTGTGTGAATCTTTTTGTTTTTGTGTTTGTCTCTCCGTGGCTTGGTCTCTGTGTCCTACTTTCTTCGTGTGTGGATCTCTCTGTCTCGCTGTTTCTGTGTGTCTCGTTAATCCTGCCTGTGTCTTTCGCCTTCTCTCCGTCTCTATCGCCCGTGTCCATCTCCCTTGTCGCGTTTCTTATCGCTCTGTTGACCCCATCGCCCTGAGCCCACCGCCTTGACCCTCGCCGTCGACAGGACGCCGTCAAGATCATGGCCAAGGACCTGGTGCGCACACGTCGTCACATCAAGAAGTTCATGGTGATGCGAGCCAACATCCAGGCCGTGTCCTTCAAGATGCACACGCTCAAGTCCAACGGCGCGATGGCCCAGGCCATGAAGGGCGTCACCAGGGCCATGGCCGCCATGAACCAGCAGGTAGGTGTGCTGGGCCCCGCTGCCTCGCACGCACACGCACGGAGCTTTGCGAGCGCTAGAATCGCGCTTGATCGCCTTTGTCTTACCAACTCCAGAGACGAGAATTTTGCGCGTGTGATCACCCGGGTCACCAAAGTAACACGGAACAACTCAAAGTGTGGACAATGGAAGCAGAAACAATAAATGCGTTGAAGAAGAAATGCCGACTCTACGCCTGCGAGCAAATCACTGCGGCATGCGCCCGCACCTCATTGGCTGTCTGGAAGCTAAGCAGGGTTTTTGGACCTGGTTGGTAATTTAATGGGTGACCACCGTCAACACCACCGCGATTTTCCGGGCGTTTCGTTGGCTCTGAAAATGTACTTCCGGAAAAGAATTTGGTCAGCGATACGTTACACAAACGGGAGCAAATCAAAAATGGCACGAGTATCGTCGATGGGATTTCAAAACTTTAAAAATGTCATCGACGCTTCTTCGACTGCCATTCTTCAACATTGTATCTTAAATTTGCTAAATTCCTCTTGATATGCAAATTCCTTTGTCAAGGCGCTCTTCCCCCTCCAACCCAGCAGCTTAAATATACGCTGCCAAGCTTGGTGGTGTTTCATTTAGACGCTGTCTTTCTGACAGACCTGGTCTTCACCTGAGGACAGCGTTGTGGCCGAAACGTCGTGAAAATTGTATTTAATTATGTTTTATTTTTATTATTTTATTTTATTCCCATTCTACGTGACTTTACCGAAAGAACCAAGAAGATGGTTATTGATGTTTGATTATTGAACTTGGGTTATAATTGTTACAGTGAAATCCCTCTTCACGTTGGTGATTGGTTCCGTGAAACTGGTGGTTAAGCGAAAAGGCTTAATTCGTTCCGATGGCATCGAAAGTTACCCTTCAAAAGAAGTTCTTTATAACATTTAAACAATGAACATATTAATTCATAAAGATACTAACAACATTATAAACACATCGTGTTAAAAGAAACGGGGTTAATCGATGCATTAATTAATATTTACTCCATCGACAACAGCCCGTCGTTAACAGGGGAATGGTCGGTAAGTGAACACACTGGGCTCTATAGAGGCACTACACTACACTATACACTACACTACTATACACTACACTATACACTACACTACTATACACTACACTACTATACACTACACTACTATACACTACACTACTATACACTACACTACTATACACTACACTACTATACACTACACTACTATACACTACACTACTATACACTACACTACTATACACTACACTACTATACACTACACTACTATACACTACACTACTATACACTACACTACTATACACTACACTACTATACACTACACTACTATACACTACACTACTATACACTACACTACTATACACTACACTACTATACACTACACTACTATACACTACACTACTATACACTACACTATACACTACACTACTATACACTACACTATACACTACACTACTATACACTACACTACTATACACTACACTACTATACACTACACTACTATACACTACACTACTATACACTACACTACTATACACTACACTATACACTACTATACACTACACTATACACTACACTATACACTACACTACTATACACTATACACTACACTATACACTACACTATACACTACACTACACTATACACTACACTATACACTACACGACCGATGACTCGTCTCCGCCGGCGCGCGTGTCGCACCCCGCCCAGCTCACGCTGCCGCAGGTCCACAAGATCATGGTGGAGTTTGAGGAGCAGTCAGAGATCACGGACGTGAAGGAGGAGGTGATGAACGACGCCATCGACGACGCCGTGGGCGATGAGGGCGACGAGGAGGAGGAGAGGTGATGGGGGGGGAGTCGCGAGCTCTCATACTCTGATGGTGCATTGTCTTTGAGTTGTGCGCCTTTTGGCGTCATCTGGTCCAACACCGTGTGAGACTAAGGAAAGCTGTCTCGGGTGTGGACCAATCAACTTCAAGGACAGTGCATACATTATCAGAGTTGTATTTTTCGATTTAAAGCTTTCGTGACTGCAGGGATTCATCTTCTTGGTTCTTTCGGTAAAGTCACGTAGAAGGGAAGTAATAAAATAATAAAAATAAAACATAATAAAACAATTCTCACGACGTTTCGGCCACAACGCAAGCAGCCGTCCTCAGGTGAAAACCAGGTCCGTCGAGGCGACAGAGTCTGAATGAAACAGCACACGAGCTTGGAGCATATATATAAGCTGGGCGCATAGACAAAGGAATTTGCATAGCAAAAGGAATTTAGCATATTTATGGGAAATGCAGGAATGTGATTAGTACTGCATATGCATGTGCATTATGCAGGATTAACAGCATCAAAGGGAGCTGCAGTTACTGCTGCTGCTGCAGTTACTGCTGCTGCAGTTTCTGCTGCTGCTGCAGTTGCTGCTGCTGCTGCAGTTGCTGCTGCTGCTGCAGTTGCTGCTGCTGCTGCAGTTGCTGCTGCTGCTGTACTTGCTGCTGCTGCAGTTGCTGCCTTATCCATTTTAATATAACACTATGTATTATTCTACCCACCCTAATGTGTATCACACTGCTATATGTTTACTATACAATTACGACACCATACATTACTCTGCACACTGCACCATGCCAGTGAGTGGAACGCGGTCTGAAAGTCACCGTAAACGTGAACACAATCAGTTAAGATCCGAAATGGTTTATTACGTCCTTCCAATGATTGCTAAGCCAGAATCCATCTTCTCGGTTGAAATTGTCTCTGTGTTTGTATATGTGGATCGCTTCATGAACGAATCTCTCATGATAGCCAGATGGCTTGCAGAGAACCTCTGTCTTGGAGAAGTCAATGTCATGTGAGCCCACTGAATTGTAACAGTGATCTGCCACGGCTGAGGTGTTTGTCCTACCGTGTTTCAGGTCTGCCTTATGTTCACGGATGCGGTCCGAGACATGTCGTTTGGTTTCTCCAATGTAACTGCTACCACAGAGGAAACTTAGTTTGTAGACGCCAGGATACTGTATGTCTGGAACCACATCTTTTACAGACGGGACCAGATCACGGATTTTATGTACTGTGTTGAATCGGACCTGGATCTTGTGTTTAATCAGGATTTTGGAGATCTTTTTGTGACTCCAGCAATGTAGGGTAAGGTGATGGTCTTGAAAGGCTCCTCAACAGGATCCTTCTTGATGGTTGGAGTGATGGCTTTGCGGATTGTGTAGTCGGAGTAACCATTAGCCTTAAGAGCTTGGCGTACGTGTTTGAGTTCACTGGAAATGTGTTCATGGTCGGAGATGCATTGGGCTCTATGATATAGAGTCTTGATGAGGGAATTCTTCTGGGATGGATGGTGGTGGGAATCCGGTTTTAGATAAGCATCCGTGTGGGTGGCTTTCCTGTAGACAGAGTGGCTCATTGAACCATCAGGTCTCCTTTTGATTAGGACATCCAAAAAGGGTAGCTTGCCATCATTTTCGACTTCCATGGTGAATCTGATGGCCATGTGGCCGGCCTGCTCTAGACCAATTTCTCGACCACATCAATTCCATACACGTACGCCAAGCTCTTAAGGCTAATGGTTACTCCGACTACACAATCCGCAAAGCCATCACTCCAACCATCAAGAAGGATCCTGTTGAGGAGCCTTTCAAGACCATCACCTTACCCTACATTGCTGGGGTCACAAAAAAGATCTCCAAAATCCTGATTAAACACAAGATCCAGGTCCGATTCAACACAGTACATAAAATCCGTGATCTGGTCCCGTCTGTAAAAGATGTGGTTCCAGACATACAGTATCCTGGCGTCTACAAACTAAGTTGCCTCTGTGGTAGCAGTTACATTGGAGAAACCAAACGACATGTCTCGGACCGCATCCGTGAACATAAGGCAGACCTGAAACACGGTAGGACAAACACCTCAGCCGTGGCAGATCACTGTTACAATTCAGTGGGCTCACATGACATTGACTTCTCCAAGACAGAGGTTCTCTGCAAGCCATCTGGCTATCATGAGAGATTCGTTCATGAGGCGATCCACATATACAAACACAGAGACAATTTCAACCGAGAAGATGGATTCTGGCTTAGCAATCATTGGAAGGACGTAATAAACCATGTAGTACAGCTAGTTGTATAGTAAACATATAGCAATGTGATACACATTAGGGTGGGTAGAATAATACATAGTGTTATATTAAAATGGATAAGGCAGCAACTGCAGCAGCAGCAAGTACAGTAGCAGCAGCAACTGCAGCAGCAGCAACTGCAGCAGCAGCAGCAACTGCAGCAGCAGCAGCAACTGCAGCAGCAGCAGAAACTGCAGCAGCAGTAACTGCAGCAGCAGCAGTAACTGCAGCTCCCTTTGATGCTGTTAATCCTGCATAATGCACATGCATATGCAGTACTAATCACATTCCTGCATTTCCCATAAATATGCTAAATTCCTTTTGCTATGCAAATTCCTTTGTCTATGCGCCCAGCTTATATATATGCTCCAAGCTCGTGTGCTGTTTCATTCAGACTCTGTCGCCTCGACGGACCTGGTTTTCACCTGAGGACGGCTGCTTGCGTTGTGGCCGAAACGTCGTGAGAATTGTTTTATTATGTTTTATTTTTATTATTTTATTACTTCCCTTCTACGTGACTTTACTATCAGAGTTGTGTTTTTTGTTTGCATTATGGCTGCAGGTATTGTAGTCTATGCAAACATGACTCGTAAAAAGGTGTCAGTTTTGTTGCCAGATAGAAGGGTAAAACACCAATTATCAAAGGCAAACTTGTGTGTATGTGTGTGTCTGTTCAAAATGTTTAGCGTACTTCCCGACATGCAACACACTGGAAATTTGCCACGTGGGTACTTTCCAGACTGTACACCTCACGGCCACCACCGTTGACGATTATCTGAACCGGTCCTGGGCCTCCCCTAGGTCGACTCAGACTTAAATGACTACCTGGTGCGGTGTATAAACATCGCCACTAGGGAGACAAAGGCGGTCGGGCGTGGTGCTGGCCACCCACCCCCTCGTGTGCCGTGCCGGCCTTCATAGGTGCTCGCTAACAGCACTTGCCCCTACAGTCTGTCAAGGCTATACGGGGGATCTTTATCTTTGTGTGTGTGTGTGTGCGTGTCTGTGTACGTGTGTGTGTGCGTGTGTGTGCGTGTGTCTGTGTGTGTCTGTGTGTGTGTCTGTGTGTGTGTGTGTCTGTGTGTGCATGTGTGTCTGTGTGTGTGCACGTGTGTCTGTGTATCTGTGTGTCTGTGTGTGTGTTTGTCTGTGTGTGTGTGTGTCTGTGTGTGTGTGTGTCTGTGTGTCTGTGTGTGTCTGTGTGTGTGTCTGTGTGTGTGCAGTGATGCCATCGTGAGCCAGGTGCTGGACGAGCTGGGACTCGGCCTCGCGGACAAACTCTCGAGTGAGTTTCTTCATTTCGCGACTCACCCAGCCACCCACCCAGTCACCCACCCAGCCACCCACTCACCCAGCCACCCACTCAGCCACCCACCCAGCCACCCACCCAGCCACCCACTCACCCAGCCACCCACCCAGCCACCCACTCACCCAGCCACCCACTCAGCCACCCACCCAGCCAGCCACCCAGCCACCCACTCAGCCACCCACTCAACCACCCACCCAGCCACCCACCCAGCCACCCACTCAGCCACCCACCCAGCCACCCACCCAGCCACCCACTCACCCAGCCACCCACCCAGCCACCCACTCAGCCACCCACCCAGCCACCCACTCAGCCACTCAGCCACCCACCCAGCCACCCACTCAGCCACCCACCCAGCCACCCACCCAGCCACCCATCCAGCCACCCACCCAGTCACCCACCCAGCCATCCATTCACCCAGCCACCCACTCAGCCACCTACCCAGACACCCACCCACTCACCCAGCCACCCACCCAGCCACCCACTCACCCAGCCACTCAGCCACCCACCCAGCCACCCACCCAGCCACCCATCCAGCCACCCACCCAGTCACCCACCCAGCCATCCACTCACCCAGCCACCCACTCAGCCACCTACCCAGCCACTCACCCACCCACTCACCCAGCCACCCACCCAGCCACCCACTCACCCAGCCACCCACTCAGCCACCCACCCACCCAGCCACCCACCCAACCACCCACTCACCCAGCCACTCAGCCACCCACCCAGCCACCCCCACCCCACCCAGCCACCACCCAGCCACTCAGCCACCCCACCCAGCCACCCATCCAGACATCCACGCAGCCACCCATCCAGACATCAACCCAGACATCCACCCAGCCACCCACCCACCCAGCCACCCACCCACCCAGCCACCCAGCCACCCACCCAGACATCCACGCAGCCACCCATCCAGACATCAACCCACCCACCCACCCAGCCACCCACCCACCCACCCAGCCACCCAGCCACCCACCCAGACATCCACGCAGCCACCCACCCAGACATCCACCCAGCCACTCAGCCACCCAGCCACCCACCCAGACATCCACGCAGCCACCCACCCAGACATCCACCCAGCCACCCACCCAGACATCCACCCAGACATCCACGCAGCCACCTACCCAGACATCCACCCAGCCACCCACTCACCCAGCCACCCACCCAGACATCCACGCAGCCACCCACCCAGACATCCACCCAGCCACCCAGCCACCCACCCAGACATCCACGCAGCCACCCACCCAGACATCCACCCAGACATCCACCCAGCCACCCACCCAGACATCCACCCAGACATCCACCCAGCCACCCACCCACCCAGCCACACAGCCACCCACCCAGACATCCACCCAGCCACCCACCCACCCAGCCACCCACCCAGACATCCACGCAGCCACCCACCCAGACATCCACCCAGCCACCCAGCCACCCACCCAGACATCCACCCAGCCACCCACCCAGACATCCACCCAGACATCCACCCAGCCACCCACCCACCCAGCCACCCAGCCACCCAGCCACCCACCCAGACATCCACCCACCCACCCAGCCACCCACCCAGACATCCACGCAGCCACCCACCCAGACATCCACCCAGCCACCCACCCAGACATCCACCCAGACATCCACCCACCCAGCCACCCAGCCACCCACCCACCCAGCCACCCAGCCACCCACCCAGACATCCACCCAGACATCCACCCACCCACCCAGACATCCACGCAGCCACCCATCCAGACACCCACCCAGCCACCCACCCAGACATCCACGCAGCCACCCATCCAGACATCCACCCAGACATCCACCCACCCACCCAGCCACCCACCCAGACATCCACCCAGCCACCCAGCCACCCACCCAGACATCCACGCAGACATCCACGCAGCTACCCATTCAGAGATCCACCCAGCCACCCACCCAGACATCCACGCAGCCACCCATCCAGACATCCACCCACACATCCACCCACCCACCCAGCCACCCACCCAGACATCCACGCAGCCACCCACCCAGACATCCACCCACCCACCCAGACATCCACGCAGCCACCCACCCAGCCACCCACCCAGACATCCACGCAGCCACCCATCCAGACATCCACGCAGCCACCCACCCACGCAGCCACCCACCCACGCAGCCACCCACCCGGCCACTTAACCACCCGCCCACCCACCCACCCAGCCACCCACCCGCCGAGTGATAACACACACCGCAGTAATTACTAGGGTGGCCCCGCCAGATACGAACCTCTGCAGCGAGCGCACGACCGCCGGACCCCGAGCCGCGCGGAGCGTGAAGAACGGCGAGTTGTCGGATCGGAAAAGCGGAGACAATTACGTCGTTTGATGGGGTTTGGCGCGGTGCGTCCACGGGCAAAGTGGCCGCTCGTAGACGCGGCACGACTCGCGCGCGTCGCCGATGTCGCCGAAGCCTCGACGCGTGTTTACAGCATGGGAGCTGTTCTGGCTTTTCTCGGGTCTCTTATTACGATTATTGTTGTTATTTGTAATTTCAACTTGTGCCGCTGTGCCACTGCCGTTGCCTTCCTCCCCACCGGCATTTCGCTCATCGCCGTCGAACGGAGAGAGCACGAGGAGGCAGCGCGGACGAGTAGTGGGGGAAGGCAGCAGCAGCCAGGAGACGGTGCTACCAACAATTGCCTGGGTTCTGCAGCCCTTGATTTATTAAGCAAATTTCAGTAAACTAACGACCGTTAATACACGTGGGAGGAAACTGAATCACCCAGAGAATGCCCAACGCGTGCGAGGGGGCAACACTCTATCCCATGCAGATGCAACGGGTGGCCTTCAGTGCGCGCTTGCCTGCACCGCTTGCTCCCGGCGAGCCACCAGCCCTCGCTGCCGCCTCCACAGCTGCGCCGCGTGGCTGGCGGTCTTCTCTGTGTCTGCGGGAGTGCAGCGGTCAGCGCCACGGCCAACACCGGTGATGATGATCTGAACCGGTCCTGGGCCCTCCCCTAGGTCGACTCGGTCTCAAACGAGTACCCGGTGCGGTGTGTAGTGAACATCCCTAGCACTGGGGGAGAGACAAAGGCGGCCGGGTGTGGTGGTGCTGGCCACCCGCCCCCCCCTCGTGCGCCACGGCGCCGGCGGCCTTCGTAAGTGCCGCTCGCTGACGGCACTCGCCCCTCCAATTAGTGAAGGCTGCACGGGGACCTTTGTCTTTGTGCGAGTGGCGGTGTTCCGTGTGCGTGCGCTTGACCGTCGCTGTTTTCTCTCCGTGTGTCTCCCCCCACCCACCCACCCACCCCCCACCCCGCCCCCCCCACCCCCCCGCAGCTCTGCCGGCCACAGGCGGCTCGTTCAGCGTGTCCGCAGGCAAGATGGCCGCCGCCGACCTCGACGTGCGACTCAACGACCTGCAGTGTGATTAGGGGGGGGTGGGGTGGGGGGGTGGGTGAGTGGGGGGTGGGTGGGTGGTGGGGGGGGCGGGGTGGGCGGGGTGGGTGGGGGGTGGGTGGGGGGCGGGGTGGGTGGGGGGTGAGGTGGTTGAGTGGGTGGGGGGGCGGGGTGGGTGGGGGGGCGGGGTGGGTGGGTGGGGGTGGGTGGTAGGTGGGTGGAGCGGGTTGGGGTGGGTTGTGATCCATGCCAGGTTCGGATGCTAATCAGTGAAACGGTGGCGGCCATGGTCTGAATTGAACCTGTGTCACCGGCGTTGTGGGGCGGTGTGCAGCGACTCCCCCCCCACCACCCCCCCACCAACCCCCCGTAGTCGTTAACTGGCTGTGCTGTTGGCAAGCGCCTGTCCAGGATGGTACGGGGGCAGCTATGGGGGGGGGGGGGGGGCTGGCGTGACGATCTGCACGCCCGGCCACGCACCAGGTAACTCGTTTTAAGGCCGAGTCGACCTAGGGGAGGCCCAGGACCGATATCATCTGCCGCTGATGTTGGCCACGGTCGCGAGTGAAACTTGGGTCCGCCGCTGAGCCGCTGACCTCCAGCACTCCCCGTTGACGCACGTTATGTGCTCAGTCAAGTCGCCGCACACTGAAGCCTGCCTCGTTCTGGAAGTGGCTTTTGTCGTTTGACGTTCATGCTTGGGACACTTGGCCGTTGATATTTGCTGTTCCGGATACTTGCTGCAGTTTGTACGTTTTTAGGCTTCTGCCATTTCACTAACACGGCCCGTTCGCACCTTAATCGGAGCGCGTTCTTGTCTCCGTTTGTCGCCGTCTGTATCCTCGTGGGGGGGGGGGGGGAACCCCGCCCACCCCCACAGAACCACAGGAGCAGATGTCGCAAAGCTACCTCTTGAGGTCCCCTCTTCAACACGTGACCTCTCTGAGCCACACTGAGAAGAGGGCGGCACTTTCCCGCTCTCTCTGCGACGTTGGGGTGGTCACGTGACGGTCGAGGAAATGTTCTGATTCTCGGCTGTGATGGAGATCAGCGCGGAACCAAATGTCACTCGAGGATGATGCTGCGCTGTCGTTGGAGACCGGGCTGAGATCATTAACTCTATGCACTTGGTGTTTTACCCTTCTATCTGGCAACAAAACTGACACCTTTTTTTACAAGGAGTCATGTTTACATAGACCACAATACCTGCGGTCGGAATGCAAACAAAAAACACAACTCTGATAATGTATGTGCACTGTCCTTGAAGTTGATTGGTCCACACCCGAGACAGCTTTCCTTGGAGCCTAGTCTCACATGGGTTGGACCAGATGACGCCAAAAGGCGCAGGTCAATCAACTTCAAGGACAGTGCATATCATCATCAGAGTTATGTTTTTTGTTTGCATTATGACTGCAGGTATTGTGGTCTATGCAAACATGACTCTTTGTAAAAAAAAGGTGTCAGTTTTGTTGCCAGATAGAAGGGTAAAAAACCAATTATATTTTTTACTGGCAAATGAGGTTCCAATGGTGTCAATGCACTTGGTTAATCGCAGGCGGCGGCCTGTTCAAGTTTCTGTCAATATTGTTTTGTTCTCTCGTGTGTGTGCACGTTCATTGGCAGCTTACACACAAGCGTGAACATCGCGTACACCTAGGTTTATAAAGGCGCGCAATTTTCGCTCGCCCCCCTCTCCAAGGGCGACAGGGAGGGGGAAAAAAGCCGCAGACGATCGCCCAAGCTCTGTCGTTCTACACTGGGATACTCGGCCATCTCCATCGTCGTCAACAGCCGCTGCGACGGAAGCTTTGCTGCATTGTGAGAAGGCCGGGTGGCTCAGGCGGGGTTCGACACGTGCAGCCGGCACCGCTGAGAGGCAGGGTTTAAACCCGGGTCTCATCTGCCCGTGATTCTACTGGGTTTGGAAGAGTCGTGAACTACTGGTCTCGGCCCGCTCACCGTAGAATTGCACAGAGGCCCATCGTCATGCGTAGAGACTCGCACACGTGGACCCAGTTGTGATGTTCTCTACAGTCAACAATGACTGTAGAGTAGCAACAAAACCCCCTGGTCACATTAACATTCGGTTCTGCACTTAGTGCAGCTCTGGCAAGATGTTCCAGCTCTTGGCAAGATGTTCCAGCTCTTGACAAGATGTGCCAGCTCTTGACAAGATGTTCCAGCTCTTGGCAAGATGTTCCAGCTCTTGGCAAGATGTTCCAGCTCTTGACAAGATGTTCCAGCTCTTGGCAAGATGTTCCAGCTCTTGGCAAGATGTTCCAGCTCTTGGCAAGATGTTCCAGCTCTTGACAAGATGTTCCAGCTCTTGGCAAGATGTTCCAGCTCTTGGCAAGATGTTCCAGCTCTTGACAAGATGTTCCAGCTCTTGGCAAGATGTTCCAGCTCTTGGCAAGATGTTCCAGCTTTTGGCAAGATGTTCCAGCTCTTGGAAAGATGTTCCAGCTCTTGACAAGATGTGCCAGCTCTTGGCAAGATGTTCCAGCTCTTGGCAAGATGTTCCAGCTCTTGACAAGATGTTCCAGCTCTTGGCAAGATGTTCCAGCTCTTGGCAAGATGTTCCAGCTCTTGGCAAGATGTTCCAGCTCTTGGCAAGATGTTCCAGCTCTTGACAAGATGTTCCAGCTCTTGACAAGATGTTCCAGCTCTTGACAAGATGTTCCAGCTCTTGACAAGATGTTCCAGCTCTTGACAAGATGTTCCAGCTCTTGACAAGATGTTCCAGCTCTTGACAAGATGTTCCAGCTCTTGACAAGATGTTCCAGCTCTTGGCAAGATGTTCCAGCTCTTGACAATTAAACAATCGTTTTGTCAGTCGTGTCTGGAAGAATTCCTCCCTGTGAATCTACGGGTTATTGCAAACAATGCAAGCTCACGTAGTACATCGCCACGTGACCAGCAATTGTCTACCCACTGCTGTATGAAGTCCCAACCCCCACTCTCAGTCCTAGGATGTCGTCAGAATCCATCGCCTGCACACGAGCCGAGCTAATCGCTCCATCTCTCTCTTGGACGTCTTCGCGGGGTGGAATTCTCCCCTTTGGCTGCCGTGTCCACCGGTCTGCTCCAGAGCCGGGACTGACTATACAAGCCGGAGGAGCCCTGAGCGTGTCCGGCTGGCTGTTGTCGTGTAGTACTTGAAGACCCAAAGCCGTGACCTACGTCGAGTATCGAGTGGAAGGGGCCGTTACCCCTTCGTGTTAGGATCACGTTGTTATAATAAACGTGTTGCCTCTAAAGAAGTCTCGCTCTCCGTTCTGCCCACTGCAGATGTATGGCCAAGCATGCTGACAGAGAGAGAGGCAGACATGAACGGATACAGCACAGCGAGAGGTAATGAGAGAGACAAGCCGGTTCCAGTGGCCTGCTAAAGATGTGTACATCGTGTGCAGCGTGTTGAACTTGTTTCGCAACGTACGTAGCCAACCGCACTCATCAGCGGTGAGAGGGAACGACACCAAACTAAACACAAAACTCACTTCTAAACAAATGAGTTGTCAATCTAATGTTTTAAAAGTGCATACGTAAATGGCATTGTGAATCACGAGGCAGATTGAACTCGTGACAGCCTTTATTATAGACCACTGTGGGACGTCAATCTCAGTGCAGTGCTAATGCAACGCACATCATAACCACCACCACCACAACCACCACCACCGCCACCACCTCCACCATCATAACTACCACCACAACCACCACCACAACCACCACCACCGCCACCACCACCACCATCATAACCACCACCACAACCACCACCATCACAACCACCACCACAACCACCACCATCACCACCGCCACCACCATCACCACCGCCACCACCGCCACCACCACAACCACCACAACCACCATCACCACAACCACCGCCACCACAACCACCACCACAACCACCACAACCCCCACACCACAACCACCACCGCCGCCGCCACCACCACAACCACTGCCACCATCACCACCATCACCACCACCATCACCACCACCATCACCACCACCACCATCACCCCACTACCACCACCACCTCGTCAGTGATCGCACGTCGCGCCCAGCGGCCGGTGGGCGCGCACTGGGATCTGTGCTGCTGCTGCCGCACCGCCGCCGTGCGGTCAGCATCTTCGCTCGCTGGCCACGACCGCGACCTCTCGCGGCTCTCTCGAGCAAACGTGACGAAGCGCCCAAACGCAGAAGACGAGGAAGAGGGGGGGGACGACAACGAGGAGGAGGTTGAGGATGATGATGAGCCACGGCAGCCCACGTCCCGACGTGTCTGCTTCCTGCGCTCCTCCTGCGAGTGGAAACAAAAAAGAGAGAGAGACGGTGTGGACGGAGAGCACGGAGAGAGAGGAGAGAGAGGAGACAACGTGGAGAGCGGGGAGAGAGCGCAGAGAGAGAGCGGGGAGAGAGCGGAGAGAGAGCGGGGAGAGAGCGAGGAGAGAGGAGACAACGTGGAGAGCGGAGAGAGAGCGGAGAGAGAGCGGAGAGAGAGCGGAGAGAGAGGAGACAACGTGGAGAGCGGAGAGAGCGGAGAGAGAGCGGAGAGAGAGCGGGGAGAGAGCGCGGAGAGAGAGCGGAGTCTCTGCTGGTGCTATGAGAGAGAGAGAGAGTGGAGCCTCTGCTGGTGCTATGAGAGAGAGAGAGTGTGGAGAGAGTGGGGAGAGAGTGGAGAGAGAGTGGAGTCTCTGCTGGTGCTATGAGAGAGAGAGAGTGTGGAGTCTCTGCTGGTGCTATGAGAGAGAGAGTGGAGACTCTGCTGGTGCTATGAGAGAGAGAGAGAGTGGAGTCTCTGCTGGTGCTATGAGAGAGAGAGTGGAGAGGGAGTGGAGTCTCTGCTGGTGCTATGAGAGAGAGAGAGAGACTCATCGTCGTCGGCCTCTCACCGCCCCGGTGACCTCCCACAGCGACCTTGACGGGTCGCGACCTCCCCAGGCCCGGCACGGAGGGCGGCAAGGTGGCGCCCATCTTGGACGGCGTCGCGCTCCCAAGGGTCAACGTGGCCCCGTCGGACAGCGCCGTCCCCGCCTGGGGGACGCGGAGCGCCGCAGGGGAGACGACGGGCGACTGAAACTCAACGTTTTGCATATCCGTCACTGCGTTTCCGATCGCCCTTTGTGATTGTAACGGCTTGTCTCTCGTTGGGTCAGTGGCTAAAGCACCTGACTTGCAATCAAGAAGGTTGCATATTGACATCCTGGTTGGGGGCATGACTCAGCCAGTGGCTCGAGGGGTCAATGACATCCGTCTCGTGCTGTGGGACGTCAGCGGTGGTCCTGCCTCAAGTGAGCAGGCCCTGCCGTGACGAGCGAGAACGTCCACTCGGGGCTCACGGCTGACATCGAATGCGATCGCTCTCTCCCCCTACGCTCCACCCCCCCCCCCCATCAATCCGATTGTCTCGTTAACGCCACCGACTGTCACCACCTCGTTGTACACACGCGTACACTCACCCACACACACACACACGCGTACACTCACCGACACACACACACACACGCGCGTACACTCCCCCACACACAACAACACACACACCACTAAGTGGCGGTGACGTCACTACGGCGCTTGTGCCAGGCCACGTGCACGTTGAGGCCGGGCCAAGTGTCGAACGCCCACAGGGAGGAGGAGGTCACGAGGCAGACCCAGCAGGTGCCACGCGCACTCCAATATAAACACACAACATCCACTCATCTCATTCCCATCTTCGTAAATGCCACCCACCGTCACCGCCACCTCCACCACCACCACCACCTCCTCCACCACCACCACCTCCTCCACCACCACCACCACCTCCACCACCACCACCACCTCCACCACCACCACCACCACCTCCACCGCCTCCACCACCACCACCACCGTCGCCACCGTCACCACCACCACCTCCACCACCACCACCTCCACCAAAGTCACCACCACCTCCACCACCGTCACCACCACCTCCACCACCGTCACCACCACCTCCACCACCACCACCTCCACCACCACCACCTCCACCACCACCTCCACCACCTCCACCACCGTCACCACCGTCACCACCACCTCCACCACCACCTCCACCACCGTCACCACCGTCACCACCACCTCCACCACCTCCACCACCGTCACCACCGTCACCACCACCTCCACCACCGCCTCCGCCACCTTTGTCTCCCGCGTGCTAGCGATCTTTACTACAAGTACTAATTAGAGGTTGAGTAGACCTAGGGGAGGCCCAGGACCGGTTCAGATAATCGCTGCTGCTGTCTGTGAGCGGGAATCAAACTCGGGTGTTGGCACGGTGGGGTCGGCGGTGGTGGGGGTGGTGGGGGGGGCGGTGTTGGCACGGTGGGGTGATGGTGTTGGGGTGACGGTGGCGGGGTGACGGTGACACCGACGGGGCACCTGTGTCCACGTGAGGGTGGGTATCCCGGCGGGCGACGAGGAGGATGAGGCGGCGGCGCTGGCCACCTGCACGACGTCCCCGGCCGTGAGCCGGGTCGCCTCGGTGGGGCCCAGCAGCTTCACGTCGTCCGCGTCTGCCGAGGAGGACAGACGATCGACTTTTACTCCGGGCCAAGCGGCGCCGTTCGCTCGCAGTCGCAACGTCCGTGCGGAGGAAATCCGACGAGCCGCGGAGCTCTTTGCGCGTCGCGGACGTCCGAGTCGGAGTCGCAGTCTCCGTCTCGTGACGACGATAACAAGGCGACGTCCGACGCGCCCCCCGGGATTCCCCGACGCGCGACGCC